AGGAAAGCCTCAGCTCTGGATCTGCACCAAGGAGTGAACTGCAGGATTTTCTGATTTTTTTTCCCCCTCTGTTACAAATCAGTGGTAAAAATGCAATACGTAAAATAATTTTCAGAATTATTATTTTAATTTTTCCCTTGGAAATCAGAAAGACAGTGTACGTGGGTCCTTTGCCTAACACTGCTTTGACCTGTCCTTTAGGTGACTTTTCACAGCGTTCAAGTAAACGCTCTGTTTCTTCTTTCTACAGACACAATCCTCTTAGCTTACCCTAAGTGATCTTTTTTTTTTTTTATTCCTCTAACAAGTAATTGCATTGCTTTTCTAACATGTCCTGTAGTATTTGACAAATCCATAATCACTAAGTTCCTTTTTGTTTCTCTTTGTCCTTCATTCAAAGGATGACTAAGACTTTCTCAGGTACATAGGGCACTTTGAGATTTAACAGTTCCATTCAAAGCCAGAGATCTTTGGAACTCTTTTTCCTTCTATGTCCATATACTTGACAAAGTAAGTCTTTAGAAAAGGGTTTTGAGTGCACTCTGCTAAAAAGATCAAATTACATCATTTAATATTGGTCGTGATCCTAACTGCTGCAGTGCTAAAATAGCATGTGGCTATGAAAAAGACAAAGGATTTTGTATAATGGATTTTATAAAATGAATTTTATAAATACTAGTCATCCTACTTTCATATCAAGATACCTGCTTGACTTTGAAGTAAGGTAAGTGTTCTAGACCAAAAAAGTTAACAGTATTCCTTAAGATTGGATTGCAGTTCATCTGCATAAAGAAGCAAACCAATATACTCATTTGCAACCTTAATGTAAGCTAACAGAATGTTTCAGTGTCCTGGCCTGAGTTTCACTGAATTTGTAGTCATGAAGAATTTTTTGCAATGGCTTTTGACTAATAACATTTTTTAAATTTCCTTAACGGTAATATTGACATAAAATCTTAGATACGGATGTTTTATTAAAGATTGTACCAGGAACTTGAAACAAATGTACTTATCTCTGTAAACATGTTATCACTTTATACCCATGTATTTTATATATATTCTTACTTTTATGCATGTTTCTATATTAAAAAAAAAAAACCCAAAACATTTCCACAATTGTGTTTTGTAGGAGGAAAATGAGAAGAAGAGTCACCACAAGGACCACTCAGATAATGAATCCACATCTTCTGATAAGTAAGTGTAATATAACTGTGATAATTCTGTAGTTGGTTTTATGTGGGTTTTTTGTATCATTCCTGTTTTCACACTCACCTATTATATTTTTTATATTTGCAGCTCTGGGAGGAGGAGAAGAGGACCGTTTAAAACAATCAAGTTTGGGACCAACATTGACCTGTCAGATGACAAAAAGTAAGTTGATTACAGTTTCTTCTGCTCAAGGTGGTATTCTACAGTATGATACTACTTCTAGAAAACCAATACAGACATCGGTGAGTCTGTTGATAAACCCAATTCCAGTTGCACACCCCACTGAAATTTTTACCTTTGTTCTTTAAACTGTTGTTATGTGTCCTTCTCGCACTAAAATCTCTTTTCAAGCTTTTCTTTCCAGGATCTTTATTTTTCCAGAAATGAACTTAAAGTTCCATCAGAAACTTATCTTTCTAGTCCTCCTAATACATTCCCTTTGTTTCATTCTGAGACTTTGAATTGTTCGCTTACAGTTTTAATTATTTTTGACAATACCAAGTTTTCAGACCAATGCTTATCTGTGAATAAGCCATGATACCTCTGCCAGAACCTCAAAAAAAAATAAAAGGAATTCATTTTGTATTCTTTAGACTACATATCTTTCTGTGAGTAGATGAAGGTAGCTCAGAAAAACACCATAAAGTATTAGAAATACTCTGAAAGCATGGTTTTATTGTCCAGTAATATTTATTTGTTTGGTTCAGTCTCTAATTAGTATATATTTTCCATAAAATATACAGCATGTCTAGACTGTCAGTCCTGCCAGCTACAGTACAAAAATTCTGATCTACTTCAGTCATTTGAGCAGGAGAAAAGGTTATGGTGTTTGAAACTGGAGAATAAGACCTACTTAAGATGTTGAGGTCTTTTGTGGTATAGTCACTGAAAGATCAATGTCTGTAGATATGTATGAGATTAGAGACTGATATAAAATTTTAAATATTGATACTGGTTTTTTATAAAGAAAATTCCATCTGTATATACAAAATTGTTGCTAATAAACTATCACTCTGAGCAAAATATTGAGAGAGAGACTTTAACCCTAGCATAACTAACTTGAGGCTCATAGGGAATTGGATTTTGATACTTTGAAAAGTTCTTGTGGGATCCCAGGTAGATGGCAGATCTTCTGATCTGCAGTCTCAGCTTTTGCTACAAAACTATCTTTCCCCTCAACTAGCCTGTCAGATTTGTGATTGTATTTAGAAATATTTTAAAATTGAAAGAGTAACACAGATGCCTGGTGACATTGCAGAGCTCCACACTTAAGTTCTGGAATTTTTGTGTTTGAAGATTTGCAGGTATTCAGTTCCATAGCATGTGCATTTCACTCACTTCATTCTTGGTCACAGCAGTTGCGCGCACAAGCTAGGGTATGTTTAGACAGTCTTCTTGACATACGTTGTAGCGTCGTACCATTTGGCTCTTGAAAGCATGGTTAACAGTTTCTGGCTGACTGGCTTAGAGTGTGGGGAGAGCACAGCTCTATTTTCACTTGGAAAAGATATACACTGAGGTGTAAATCACAAGCAAAATTTTCTGGCAGTATGGAAGCAGACTGGCTAACTGTGAGAGTGAGTCCAGTCACACTGGCTTTTAGCTCACCTTTAAGTGAAATTGTCATTTAAGTTTCTTTAACTGTCAAGTAAGGGTATTGCATTGTCTCCACTTCCCTCTTAAGAGATGTTAAGTTGTGTAGCAGTAGATTGTCTACTTCTTTATCTCCTGTGCTAACAATTTTTTGAAAATGTTTATATTTCCCAAACTCCTCTAAGAGTTCTAGGGATTCACAGTTTGTCAATTTGCTATTTTGCTGCAGGTGGAAGTTGCAACTCCATGAACTGACAAAACTTCCTGCTTTTGTACGTGTGGTATCAGCAGGGAATCTTCTAAGCCATGTTGGTCATACCATCCTGGGCATGAACACAGTGCAGTTGTACATGAAGGTTCCAGGAAGCAGAACACCAGGTGAGTAGGATTTCTTCGCATGAAAAAAATCAGGTTCTGCTGCTGTGGTATTGATCTAACTGCACTGCAGATTTTCCTTATCTTACAGCATGCCTAAACATGGTAAAATTGTATATATTCAGTATTTTTTTAAATTTCTTGTTCAACTGAACTCTACATGTACAAAGTACTAAATTACCTTGTAGTGGAAATTCTGGGTTTCTGCAATGCTAGGTAATTACCATACTAACCTCTTGCATGCAATACTGGATTCTTTAAGGGGAAAAATAGGATGGGTTTGTATACTTGGACTGTATTTGTATTTTACATGCCTTGAAAGTTTTTTTAGGCTTTCAAAGTAGGTCTTGCACAATCATAGAAGTTGCTATACTTTTACTTTTTAGATTCTTTATTGTCTGAGGATAGGATTAAAGCCTCCATAATGAACAGTGCTATGTTAGGGCACTGGACTGAGACTTGAGGGATCTGGACTAAATTTCAGGGTCTGTTTTTTCTGAAGTACAGCAAAAAAGTACTTCAGAAACAGTACTTTAGGAAATTCTATTAGGGATTATGGCTTAGTTTTCCAGCTGTCAAAAGAAGATAAAATACTGGCATTTCTACATAGATTTTGAAAGCTCTTTGAGATCGGTTTTTCATGCTACTTGTCTATTCAGTGCCTGAAGTCATGAAGTTTTACTCCTGGCTGGGACTGTCAAGAGCTATCATAAAACACAAAATCTAAGCTTTAGCATCTTGAAGCATTTATTTCTACAGAAAGGGAACTGCTGAAGTATTGGTCAGATTCACAAGACTGGTAGTTCCAGCTTTTGTCCGCAAACTAACAGTAGCAGAATTCTCATGTCGCTGGTGGATTAATTGAATTTCTTAATACCATAGAGCACCTAAATACTGTGTGCGAATATCATATAGAAATATGTACATACTTAAACTGTGATGTAGGGTTTTTTAGTAATTGTAATTTTGTATTTTCATAGAGTTGTTTTGATAGATCAGCCTTACAAAAGTATGTTTATTTTTCTCTAAATTTCAGGTCATCAAGAAAATAACAACTTTTGTTCAGTAAATATAAATATTGGTCCAGGTGACTGTGAGTGGTTTGTTGTCCCTGAAAGCTATTGGGGTGTCATGAATGACTTCTGTGAAAAGTAAGCTGGGCATGCTGGTTTTCTTTATTTTTATCAAGTTCTCTGTGCCTTTCTCAGACCTAAGGGGGGAAATACTGAGGGTGTTGTAATAAGACGTTATTTTACAGGTTCTCCATGTAGTCAGAAAAGTCTTCTTAAAAAGTCTAAATTCTAGGTTTTGCATTTTTACAAAATACGTACAGAAACTTGGATTGCCTGTGATAGCTTTGCTTTCAAAAATTATTTAGGTCCATTATTTGTTTTTTCGAACACAGGAATGAAGCGAGACTGGCGGTGGCAAATGCTCATCTAGGTTCAAGATTCAAATTTACACTCCATTAAGGGGGATAAGAAGTTTAGTATAAGCATAAGCTGTCTGTTACTAGTGTGTTTTATGTGGCATCGATCCAGTTTTCGTAGTAGTAACATTTCCACATCAGAAAATCCATCACAGTCCTTGCTGTTTATCTAGACGCTATCATACTTACTAAAGCTGACCTCTACTTTTAACAAATGGTGATGCTTTTGCAATGGCTTCTAGGGCTATTGCAGTGGAATGGTGGAACAAAGGTGGGGGTGAGGGAGTTTGAGGGTTTCTTTTTGTTTGTTAGGAATAATGGAATAAAGTATTTTCCTGGTGGTGTATGCTTGTTAATCTTTATTATTAATTTACATATTGCACACAAGCAAGTACAGAGTAATTGGTACTCTTGCATGGTTTCTTGCTGCATCTAGAGGGAGAGCTTCGTTTACTCAGACCCTAGGAGGTGCCATGGCATGCTTTGCATATACTTACATGTTTGTAGCTTCCTGGAATTCTGAGTTGAGGTGCACTGACCATTGGGGAAGTACTCAGCCAGCTCCAAGACTGGGGTTTCTGTGTTGTACCTTGTGTTGAGTGTATGCTTTAAATAAAACCAAACACATGCACCCCTCCACATACCCTTTCCCCTCCGCCTCCAAAATAAAATTAAAAAAAAAGAAGAACCCCCCCCCCAAAAACATAAAAACAACCCACCCAATCAAAAAAAAAGGAGCAATTGTGTCCCCTTATCATGATAGTATTCAAGCGGTAGCCTCTGAAGCTGATTTTACAGGAGAATTTTTTTTCTTATCTTGCCCAGTTAAAACTGGATTAAGCTCTTGACTTTTCTTCAGAACTTTTCCAGAGCTCTGCAAATTCGTCTGTGTCTCTGTATTCTGTATTTTCTGCCTATCTGCTGACAACTGTTCTTATTTCATCCATCTTTACAAAGATTAGCCATCTCAACATTTTAATTCCACTAATGCAATTGTAATGTCTCTTATGGTGACATGCCTTTTACCACCATGACTCTGACCTCCTGAGAGTGACAGAGAAACTAAGATCTTGGTAGCTTCTAGAGTGCCTGATGGAGGCACTGACTTGTCTTTGAAAACTGTGAGTTGCAAGTGGTCTCTAATGGCGCAGTATAAAAACAGTATAACACTGGGATAAGGATGGGAGAGAAGTGTGTATTTTGCATAACCATAGTGGAAGAGTTTGTGCTTAGAAAATCCATATGGAGGTGTTTTTTCTTGCTTCTCAGGCAGGTCGACATTTCTTGGCTGAATATAGCATAGACCTGTGGATCACAGTTGAGATGTTGCCAACAGGTTGCTTGTTGTGTGGACAAGCTTCACATGCATACACTGACAGTACGAGTACATGGTTGGCATTGTTCAAAACAGAAAGCATTCTTAAGGGCTGGTATGGTCTGTATATAAAATCAGTCACTTGTTAAAAAAGCAGCATTTGGCACCAGTGTCATGCTAGATCTCACCAAGGATTTCTGTGCCTCAGCATTAACAAAATATTAGGAGATTTAAAGGAAAATACAACATAACTGGAAGCTATAAACTGACTTCATCTGGGCAGCTAGATGGTTAAGAGTTTTAATGTATTGCAGGGTGTGAAATGCAGAATTAAGATCAATAATTTTATAGATTAAACCTTTTGACTAGTCCTTCTGGGTCACTGATTAGATGCAGAAAGCATTTATCATGGCATCAGTTTTTACAGATAGTTTAATTGAAGTATCAACCACTAATATGTCTGCTGATAAATGCTGGACTTTATTTTTCCTGTTCTTCCAGGAATAATATGAATTTCCTAATGGGATCTTGGTGGCCAAATTTGGAAGATTTGTATGAAGCCAATGTCCCAGTTTATAGGTTTATTCAAAGACCAGGGGATTTGGTGTGGATAAACGCTGGCACTGTTCATTGGGTTCAGGCTATCGGTTGGTGCAACAACATCGCGTGGAATGTTGGCCCTCTTACAGGTAAGGTTGGATAGTGCCTGTGCTGAACTACGTAACTAGGTAATGTTTTACTATATTTGCCACAGAACCTGCCATTTCTTACTAATTTACCATGCTTTACTATATTAAAAAAGTGAACGTACTGTATTTTAAAATATCATGTGTTGAAGCTTTAAATAATTCTACTGGTAAGAGGAAGGGAAAGCAGCAAGAATTCAGTCTTTGCACTTGTTCATTTAATGGACATGTAAAAACTACAACTGTGTAGCAAACACTAGCAGAATGAAATGTTCAGGTGAATTCATACACTCTGTCTTGTAGGCCATTTCTTAACTTTTTTCCACAAAATTTGTTTTGGCAGAGTGTGCTACGGCTAGCATGAGAGTTAAGGACTTGTCCAGTCAAACTTTTTCAGGACAATGGACACCTAATTGGTCATTGGTGAAAGCATCAGGAAATGTGAAGAGTTGTAAGATTTTGTTCATAAAAGAATATTAAGCTTTTCAGACCTACTGCTCTAGAAGTCTCTAGTTTTCAACCATGGTTTTGAAAGGTTTTTAGATGTGAGAAAGAAGAAGATTTCACAGCTAAAATGAGAATCTGTTAAGCACTTGAAGAGAATATACTTTCAAAAAGTTCCTGTTTTGTGAATAGTTCAGGGTGTGTCTTTTTACTATTTATTGCACCATAATGAAATATCTCCAGGATTGTATGATTGACTGATACAGAGCTCACATGTTCAGTCACAGTAAATTTTGTAAAACATTTTTTTAAAAAAGGCAGGGTGAGTAGGCTGCTTAATGAAAAGGTCTGAGTCATTGCAACAAATCTCTCAGGGTGCGGTCTTCCTTTTCAAGACAAATTATATACCATAGCATTGTAAAATTGTGATAAAGAGTGAATAGAATGAGAAGCAGACCTTTCAAATTTACATTTTTTTTTAATCTGAAATGTTTGAAAAATTTTTAAGTAACCCTGTTTGAATTATTGTTCCCTGTTCACCATAGAAATCGAATGCTTGTTAGTAACTTTTTTCCACAAGTAGTTGCTGCTGTGGTATTGTGTGTTCTTTTAGCATCGTAAATATACTTACTAAAATAAATTTTATAGAATTCAAGTGTAGTTGGAATGAATGAGTCTGATACTTATTTCTTAACTTGACTAATTGCTTCTCTGATTTTGTTTTTGTATAGCCTGTCAATATAAATTGGCAGTGGAACGGTACGAGTGGAATAAACTGCAGAGCGTAAAGTCCATAGTACCCATGGTTCATCTTTCATGGAACATGGCTCGAAATATCAAGGTCTCAGATCCAAAGCTTTTTGAAATGATAAAGTAAGTTTTGCTTATTTGAATGTTTACTATACCCATTTACTCTTCAAGCGTAAAACAACAGTTGATTTGCAAGTAATCTGTTGTGAGACTTTTCCTTTCCTAAGAATCAAGCCAAAAATATTTCATATTCTGATTTTCAAATACTCTATTGATAGATACCATTAATTTTATTATGTTGTATTTCATGTTACTGTGGCATAGCTTTAGAATGATCTAATTAACTTTTTTGTTAAATATGCCATAGACTTAATGCAGCAGTTTACAGGGGCAGTTAACTTAGATGACGAAAGCTGTTCAGAGTATGTACCATATGAAATAACAAAATCAGGTCATCAACCCAAATGTTAGAATTGGAGTGTTTAGTCATTTTTACAGCAAAGTTAAGCTTAATTTTGCATTTCTAGAGCCTCTAGTTAATGCTCGCACACTGTCATTTGGAGATGTAGTATAAATGTTTTAAATAAAGCCAAGTAGGAATTTTCCCTTTGCTCTCTCTACTGAACAATGAATTAATTGATGTGTAAAACGATAATTGGGTTTAGTGATGTTTCTCATACACGTATTCCAAAATACAGGAATATTGAAGGCTCAGAGCATCTTTAGTAATTTGCTTTAAAGAGTGCATCTTCAAGCAAATATAAATCATATTGCAGCACCATTATACCTAGGTTGAGGAATGAATGGACATTTCAGCATATATCATAGGTTTATCCTAACGAAAGTGGGGGAATGAATTCCAAGGCAAATGAGTCATCATGAGAATGCTCTGGTAGCAGCACTCTCTTTTCCTTAAGCCTACCAAAGGAGCTTCTAGCTTGAGCACTTCTTAGCCTTCTCAACATAATGGATCCACAAGCATTGAATCCTTTTATAATTTGCCTTGAAAAGGACCTTTAAAAAGTGGATGGGTTAACTTACAAAAAAAGGCAAAGAAAATTTTTTTTTCCCCCAGTAGGATTTATTGATGACATCTGAATGAGACATCTTTTTACAGTAGGAATTTAATTTAGGCTTGAACATCTGTTGCAGAGTGGTGGAATTGGTGAATTGGTAACTTTGTAAGGACCACAAATGTTGAAAGCTGAAGATAGGGAGGTTTGTCATAACTGTAAAGCTAAATTTTTAGAATAGCATTTATGTGTGAATACTTTCTTAAAATCTAGTAACTAGTATCTAGGCTGAAAAAAATCTTTGCTGAAGGCTTGACAGTCCCTTCAATTAATCTATTAGTGCTCATAGTCAGAATGCCAGCTGTCATAAAAGGGAGAGGAGAAACTGAATGGTCAGAAATGAGAAATAGGGGCAAAAGAAGCAGGGTATGGGAGGGAGGAAGCCAAAAAGTCCATTTAAAAAAACCAACCAGACCACAAACTTCTTTCTCTGTTATCTTCATGTATCTTTGCAAGCCCAGCAGGCATCTATTGTAAAGCTCAAAACAGTTCTTGAATGTTTCTGTCAAAATATGTTTTCAGTATTTTGGCACCTGTATTTTGCATTTGTGCAAGTTTGGAGGGTTTTGACATGATTTAGGCTTAAAAGGAGAAAACCATGGCTGAGCATAACATCCTTCTCCAAGAGAATCTCTTAAAATGTTGTGAAGAAACAAAGAGGACAAAATGGTTGTTGTGTATTATCTTGCTGGCTGTCTAGTGAAAGACCTACATTCTAGGTGTACATTACAAATAAACAAAAATGTTGAGGAGCAGATACAAACTTTGATCTTGCATGCATTTGCTTTTTCCAGTCTACTGAAACCACTTCCAGTTTACTTGGATTAAGCCCTTGATCCAAGTTAGTTGTCAGTCAAATCCCAAGTTCCATGCTATGTGTGCAGAGGGGAAGAAGACCCAGTGCTCTGGTTTGTAGCATCTAATAGAGCAGTAACCTGAGATAACTCTTCATTGTGGTCACTTCCATAGTTATGGTGTAGCCATTACTAGAAATGGATGTCACCAGAATCACGGTCTACTATCTGACCTTGGCTGTGTAAGCATACAGGAAATGCAGAAACTTTCATGAATCTCTTTAAGATAGGAAAGCAGTTGGATAATTTTGCTATGGACTGCTTGTCTGCAAGAAAATAGCACCAGCTGGCAAGTAGCTATTGTCCACTGCTCCTGGATTTTATTCTGTACAAAATACAGGCATCTGAGAGTTTATGTGTGTTTGTGTGTGTGCGCATGTGTATAAAAACACTTAAGAAATAGTGATTTCTGATACAGCTGGTTACATTTCATCTTGAATAGCTGACTTTTCATTTATCATCAGGGAAGAAAAAATATATCAGTGACACAGCTGTCATCTTTTTGCCAAATGCAGATCTGTATCTAAAATGCATGTCAAAGGTGCCTGAAGTGTTTAGGTAGTTTGACTTCTGTCTCTGGGGCTTCTTAGCTATCAGCATAGTACAAAAGAATAGCTCTTAGAAAAGGATAAAAGTAGTTTGGAATTCCAATTTGAAAGAAAAATACAAGTACGTCTTACTGAGTTATGCAAGAGTAACCCCTACAGAGGCAATAAACTAAAATTTAAGCATACGTATAAATATTGGGAACTAGATTAGTGATAAAAGAAATAGAATAGCAGTAGGGAAAAAATAATAGAAGAAAACTTTGCTTTTGGAAGAAATTTGAAGCATCCTTATGTTTTTAATTAATGTGCATCTTGATGCTGTCTTGCTAGATAAAAGATAAACAGCAAAACCCAAAACTTTCTCTTGAAATGCTTTTTAAAGACTTTACATTAACAGTAGAATCATGAGCAGGAACACAGGCAGACAGAATGATTTAAAACTTGACTGAGGGAGCACAACCCTAAAGAGAAGAAAAATTAACTGTAAACCTCTTAGGTGGAAGCTAGAAGGACTTTCACAAATGCCTCTGAGGAAGAGAATAATTTTAGAGGTGGTAGGAACATAGTAATAAAGGTTTAAAAAATAATTCCAAAGTAACTGAAATACTACGTTCTTTTACAAAAATAGTTTAGAAACATAAAATAACATGACATGGGAGAAATAATATTGCACAAAATCATGAAGCTGGATAAAAATACATTTTGGTATTGGTAGGGAAGATGTATTACTGAAAGATACTAAGAGGTCAGTTTTGCATTGCCATTGGGATGGTCTCCACACTTCAAAAATTTTATCGGGTATCTACATATTCAAACAGGTTTCTCACTGCCTTTTTGGAATACATCAGGATTATGTCCATTTTAAAGTCTTCTTTTAAATATTTGAATTTAGACTGGACATGACTTCCACTCTTTATGCCATACCTGTAAAGAATTTGAGAGACACGTGGTCCAGATTTCCTTTTAATTGAATTCTCACTGTACAAGAATAAAAGCAGGCCTACAAAACTAAAAGCTGATGCAGTTTAACTTACACGTTGTGACTCTGCTAGACACCTTTTTGGCTTTTTTCAGGCTTCCCATACTTTAGGAAGTTGTGGGTCATTTTTAAAGTGATAGTTCATGTGCGTTCTCCCATTCTTTGACAGCACAAAATAGTTAACTTTTACATCTTTCAAGTGCCATTACTAGGATCTGAATTTTATCCAAGGATAGGGAATTCACCTTCTAGCTAGTGTTTTTGGCTTTAGTTGCAAATTTGGCAAACATTGCAGCAGTGTTATATGTGGGTTACACATTGGGCAATGCTTTCTTCACAACTGTAACACAAAATAACACTTCGAAAACTCTCTGGAAAGTCAAGAGTAGAGAACAATGGTGGCAGGTGTGCTTCCAGTTGCTCTTTGGCATACCCAAAGATTTTTCCCGTTAACAGCAGAACAGAAGAATGACAACTTCTAAGTTTATTTGAAATCAGTCTGTATTGCATGAAGGAATGCTATACCAAAGTTAATGAGCTTGTCAGAAGCACACCTATGTTACATCACTACATCAAGTGAATTAATACATGATCTGTTGCATATGGTTGGCCTTAGCATCATAAGTCCCATTAACATCAAAGTTCAAAAGTGTCAAAGGAGATACAGCTGAATGAGCTGTTTAAATTTCTTGAAATTCAGTATATGAAAATACAGCATTTAACATAGGAACACACTTCGAGTTTTGCATTATTCGTACAGGAAGCATGTGATTGAAGCCATAGGCTTGTTTTTAGTGAACAGTCTGAGTGTGAAACATCAAGAGGAGAGTATCTGAAAGTAAGCCTAAGAGTCTATTAAGTACTTGGAAATATATGAAAGAAACATGTTTAAAAAAAAAAAAAAAAAACAGAATGTATATATTACGTATTTAAGGCTTTAAAATGGGAGAAGGATCAAGTTTAAAACATTTTGATAGAACTCTTGAGCACTTTGTTTTCTGTCCAATGTTTATTCTTCCCTTTACGTTTTTTTGATCTTCCTTCTGCATCTAATGAGCATGTAACATAACCACCCTATGGAGGAGAAAATTAAAGGCTGCAAAGGCTGCAGCTCAAATAAATAGGATAGCTGAGAGCTAAAAATTATCATAAATAACATAGTAATTTAGAAATCTGGAGACCTATTTTGCCAACTTTTTTTTAGAGAATGTATGTAGCTCATGCCATGCTAGAAAACAAGTTAGATTTTGTAGTACAGAAGAGAACTGTATAAAATTGTGAAGAAAATTATTTTTTATTCCTTTACAGAAGTATGACAGGGAATTGTTGATTTTAATTTGACATTTGACTATTTCCTCATTCATCAAATGAGTGATAAATTTATTTTTTTTTAAGTGACAATATTTTTTTCCTATGAAGGGACTTCCTTTTCTAATGCCAACCTGTCCTTTTTTCTTTTACTTCCTTGTTGATAGATTTTATTTCCCCTGTGTGCAGAGCAATTTCTGTCAGAACTTAGGTTTCCAGACTTTGGATAGCTGAAAGTTTAGTAGTGTTGAGGAAGTAACAGGAGTTTCAGGATGTTAGTTAAAACACTTTTTTTGTATAGGCTGTAGTAATTTACACAAAATGTAAACAGTTATTTTGAACTTGGCAGTTCAAACTAACTTTTTGCTGTTCAGAATAAAATACGTAAATTGCTTTTGAAAACATATTGGGTTTATTGTACATAAAGAGCATCTATGTGGTCCAGTCAAAAATGAAAGACAGAGGCTGTTTGCAGGGCAAGGAAATGGACTTGGACTGAAATGGAACAAATCTGCACAGGCATCCATAAGAAAGTGGTCTAACTGCGTAAGTCATGGGTCTAGTGATTCTTTTTAGCCAGGTGTTTCTGAAATCCCAGAGGAAGAGGAAACTCCAGGTACAGGGTGTTGGAAGAAATTTAAGCCTACTTGAATCTTGCTATAAAGTTGAATATTGAATTTAATATACAACTGATTTTGTTTGCAGGTACTGCCTGTTAAGAACTCTCAAACAGTGTCAGACACTGAGGGAAGCTCTAATTGCTGCAGGAAAAGAGATTGTCTGGCATGGGCGAGCAAAGGACGAGCCAGCTCATTACTGTAGCATTTGTGAGGTCAGTAAAAATATGTACTGGGCTTGTGTACTACTATAATATTTATTTAAATTTTGTCCTGTCTTTTGTTGGTGTTGCTGTTTTTTAAGTTGCAACATCTACTGCATGCTATAAGCACATATATGTGATGCAGTACTATCTTCAAAGAGCTTACCAAGCTGTTTTTCTAGACGTAGGCTGTATTTTGCTGCAGTTTCTTCCACAGTACTTCCACTGCATTGTTATTCACTAGGTCGATTTCCAATTCTCAGTTATTACAAAAAGTTGTTATCCATTCCTGCATTTAATTTGATCTGCCGATCTTCATTTTAAAGGTCTGTTTTAATTTCAGAAGTCAACAACAACCCCAAAAGAGAGAGAATTTAAGTACATTTCCCTCACAGGAATTCCTTTTTGCTGAAATTTTTGATTCTACTTTCTGTTAGTTCCTTTAAAGTATTGGATAACAGTTTTCATGAAGCTTAAAAGAAAATAAAATTTTCCTATCCCCTGAAAATCAGTTTCAGGTACCTTCTGACTGCACCTCTTGGGCATATGATGAGCATGTGACAGAGTAGGAAGGAAAGAAATCTTCTTTTGCAGACCTTTTCCTTTTTTTTCCTTTTGAAAGGAAAATTTTGTATAATTGTTATAAATCCCCACCTTACTAAGTAACCCCTATTCAGAATATGAATCCTGCATTGTCAATATTGACCAAAAGCTTTCCCGTAGAGCTGTTCACACATATGTTTTTACAATATCCTGAGCCTTAGGAGTATGGATTTTCCCTGAACAAATATAATTTTTCTCTTTGCGTGCATGGGGCAAAAATACAGTTTTCGTGGTTTAACTTCAAAAAAAATGAAATGGTAACAGTTGACTTTCTGTTTCCTGTCTAATAGGTGGAAGTCTTTGATCTGCTCTTTGTCACTAGTGAGAGCAACTCTCGAAAGACCTATGTTGTACATTGCCAAGACTGTGCACGAAAGATAAGCACGAACCTGGAAAATTTTGTGGTGCTAGAACAGTACAAAATGGAGGACTTGATGCAAGTCTATGATCAATTTACATTAGTAAGTCAAATTAATAAGTGGGTGCATAAATACATTATTTGTAAAGCAGTTGTAGACTGTCTTGGTACTCCGTTGTATGAGTACCGTGGACTTTCTGATTCAAATGGAGGTATGGGTTGTGTCTGATATTGACAGGAAAAAAAAAGCTGAAGAGTCAGAATTATGTGAAATAGTACAGTAACTTACTGCAGAACATAAGCGCTGAGTTTTCAGGAAAAGTATGATGTTACAATTCATAAAGTTGTGGCTTTAAAAATCCAATAGAGATCACCTGAAGACCATAACTGGATCAGATGGAGATGGGAAGAATCAGGACAGTGAAGCTTGGAGAAACTAGCACCAGGTTCAAGAGCATCTCTAATACATTGGTTGTGGTATGAAGTCAGTATAGCAGCAGAGCATCCTATGCACTCGGACCCCCTTCCTTCCCCTTCCCCACCCATCCCCTCCCAAATCAACACTGTCCTTCTGCTTAGCAAGTGGATGCTCTCAAACAGTTCTGTCTTTTGGCTTGGGGCCTCCTTTGCATTTCAATTTAAAGCAAAAAGCCTCTTTGCCATTATAGCTTTGTGCTATATATGGCAGCCTCCTGCTTTGAACTGTGTCAGCACAACTGTCCTAACATTTCACCCAGGTTTCATTGTTTCAGGCAAAGATGGCTTGTTTGTAATCACAATGAAAGCGTTGCTGGATTTACTCATAAGCCTTGCCTTTCTGTCAAAGGAGACAAGCATTGGACTAAGCGTTATGAGAATTTCATGTTGACCTAAATACAACAGCCCAGAAACGGCTGTGCCTTTTGATTCATTTCCAGGTGCTGCAGCAAATGTATGTTTAGACAATTGTTTCATGTAATGCTAGCATGATAAGTTGTGACCTTTTGAGCGAATGCCTCAAGGCTCAGCAGTGGAGGCTGGCAAGAGTGCAGGACCATGTCCTCTGAATTTAATTTTCTTCATTGGTCCTGCAGAGCCTGCAGAGGTGGTTGAACTTCAGTTCATACTTCTAGGAGCCCATTGTCGTTATGGTTTGTGAAATACTACAATTTCAAAGTGATGATCTGTTATAGAAAAGCATATAAATAAACACCTCTTCTCAGATATGCCATCCAGTTGAGTGGAAATGGGCAGGAATGTTCTGTATGGAAAAGCGGGGAGAGAGAAGGGTATTTTGTTGTCTGTGTTTATAACATTGTATAGGTAACAGTGATGATATTGTCCCTAGAACAAGGGTTCTCAACCTGTGAGCAGCTCCCTCCCCCACTAAAGCCTGTACGTGCAGCCTTCAGGGGTGTTAATAATTGGTTTCTTGTGAAATTGATGTGCACATTCATTTCTTTTAAAGGGGATACAGTCTAGATTGAGAAGAGTCATAGCCTAGAAGTGACATCTCTCAGATCTAGAAGAGACGAGTTTTGTTGCAAGTCACAGGACGAAGATAATCTCAGATGGTAAAGGTGTAATAGGCCTAACAGAGAGGCTTGGTGTTTGGGGTAAGGTACTGGGAGCAAATATGGGGATCAGCTAGTGTTAGTGTTTTGTAGGTGGGTACTGTGGTATGATTTAAGGTGTCTTTAAAGACAGTGAGCAGGTCCTTGAGGGGATTCTGCATCATGACAGGACTGCTGAGCAGGAAAAGAGGAGAAGGAAATTCCATCAAAGATTCAGTATTTTGATCATAATGCCACAAAGTGCAGTACTGGGAAATAGGTGTCTTCTAGACCTTGTCTCCTGAAAGCAGGCAGGAACAAGACACCTAGCTTACTTCACTCTTGAGGCACTCTGGTGCTGCGTCTTCCAGGATTAAAAAAAAAAAAAAAACACAAAAACAAAAAAAACCACAAAAAAAACAAAACCAACACCAACCCTTTGTCTGCATGGCAGAATCTGAGACCCGTGCCATAGATATCCTACCCTCAGGGTTATGTGTTATTGTTTAGGTAGAAGGGGGGGAAAAAATGAAGCCCAGAAGGCATTTGTAGAGCCAGAAATGGACAGCGCGCCCCCCCCCCCCCCCCCCATTGGTAAACAGGTTGAGAATCCCTGTTTTAGACCATATAAAGATACATCTATACTGAGCCCACGTGGACCTCTTTGCTGACACTATGGGACATGTTTTGGCAGCTCACCTTGTATTGACACAGACATCCCCACAGCATACTCCAGTCTGCAGTATAGGCAAAACCCTAATGCAGAGTAGTTGTACAATATATATTGCATTTGAGTAACTTGGAAAAATATGCCAGTATCCACTCGAGAGAGTCCTGAAGTGTAAAAACAGTAGTGTGTGTGACTTTAAACTCCCACGGTTACAGTTTGTGCAGATCTTGGTTAGACAGCTGAGTTTTACACCCTTGTAGAAAAGGTAATTTAATGTTTTCTTTTGCAGGCTCCTCCATTGCCATCCTCCTCATCTTGACATTTTTTTCATGGACATTAAATGAAAACTTTTCTGATATTCAGGAAGTGACCCAGTTCTGCACCACTGATTTTTGTAGCTATCCCGTAAGGCTGCTGGCTGAAAGCTGTGTCTATGCAACCTTCCAAGTGCGGAGTGTCAACCAACTGGACAGGAGAGAGCACTGCCTCCTACTCCAGAACTCAAAACAAATAAAGCTCATCCAGCTGTACTTCAAAAAAAATAATTCCATGTTTTGTATATATCTGACAAAACTGGCAACATTATACAGACTACTGACTTGAAGACCACCTCTTTTGTATTTCTCTGTTTCTGGGCTGATGAGTTGGTTTCATCCATTTTTCCCCTTCAGAATTTCCCTTGGAAAAAGTACTAGCTTAGCTGGTCATTTCTTTGTAAGGTAGTTAGAAATTTTAAGTCTTTCTTTGGGCAACATTTTTTTTTTTTTTAATGTGAAGAGTTAGGTGATATAAATTTTTTACTGCTTTTATGTTTTTCTGTCTTGTTTTGAAACCATGACGGTTACACTTTTGGTTCCTAAATAAAATTTAAAACAATTAACAGCCAAGTCACAAAGATAAATGGGTTGCACATAGACTAAGGAATAAACTTCAGATTTGTGATTTTTGTTTCTAATCTTGATGTAAATTTACACTATTTATAAATACATATTTATTGCTTGAAAATATTTGTGAATGGAATGCTGTTATTTTTTCCAGATTACCTGCCATTGAAATTTTAAGGAGTTCTGTAATTTCAAACACTACTCCTATTACATTTTCTATATGTAAATAAAACTGCTTAGCATTGTACAGAAACTTTTATTAAAATTGTTTAATGTTTAAAGTTTTTCTATTGTTTGAGTTTTAAAAAGATTTTATGTACAGTGCCCAGTTTTTGTTCTTTTTTGAATCTGATTATATATATTTTATATATACTCTTGTGCTTGTGTATATATATAATATATATAGAAACTCGAATATAAATATGTGTATAAAGATTTAGAGACTAAATTTTTCTCGTTTTAAGTTTTACATCTATGGTAGATTTGAGGTGTCTACTGTAAAGTATTGCTTACAAAAGTATGATTATTTTTAAAGAAATATATGGTATGTATCCTCAAGACATAAAATGACCTTCAGACTGGTTTATTGTTAAATTGCACTTTTTGCAATAACAGACCAATAAATAGTTGCTGCCAAAATGTAGTAGTAGAAAATAAGTAATGGCTAAACTTTAAAGCTCTCCAAGAAAATACCAGCTTTGACAGGAAATTTGGCACTAGTTTTAGAGGAGAGATGAAAAAGGTGAATTTGAGTTTGGGTGGGGATATTCTCTAGAGTTCAACCAAATTGCTACTTATATATTACAGTATGTTCTATTAACAATTTAAAAAGTTAAGACTGAACTGTCTTGGCGTCATTGTTGGCCCCAAAAAAGGACGATGTTTTGTGGTATTCTGTTGTATTTTCACATATTTTGTAATACGAATTCACTGGTAAATTTTTGAAGCACTAGGTTTGTTTAGGACAAGTTTATAATACATCATTGTAACAGTTTGCAGTTTTAATTATGGTATTTATTTTAAGTTGCTCCTTTCTTTCTCATTAGCTTCTTGAAAATGCATTAAATCTAAATTTCAAAATTGATAGCTTTTTTATCGATCAAAGTTGACTGATGCATAAGGTTCTGCATCAAACAGTTTCTCATGATTTCTCATTAGTGGGGTATGTTAGTGATTGCGTTGTTTGTTTTTTTTTAATCAATGTGAAGTGTTAAAGGCACAGAGCATGCTAATAGTTTCTTTTGAACAAAAAGAATCGCCTCTCACATTTGTAGCTTCAAACGAAGGGTGTTTTAATGAAGAATCAGTACAGCTTGTCTAATGCTGTTACAACAGTTTAACCATAGCTATAAATGAGTTTCTTGCTAGTTCTTTACAACAGTTGGACAAAAGGGTATAGAGATTAAAGAACAGTATAACAAATGCTCTTGCCAGCAAAATTATCAACTAGCAGTTAGGAAGCCAGTATTTGCAGTTCTGTAAAGATGTAAGTCTCAGCTCTCGATAACAAACTCTACAAATCATAATTTTTTTTTTACTTATGTATTTTATGCAGACATAAATATTGTAATCTTGACAAACCATGCTGCAACTGAAAAGCTACTCCTTTACAGTAGTCTTAAACCCAAATAAAAGCAAGATAACTTACCTCAACTAATGGTAAACAAAAAGTCCTCATTTCTCAGTGCTGTAGAAGAACATTGAAAGAGCTACTGTGCGCTAATCAAAAGGGCTTTGTACCTTCCCTCCCCGTTGGAAAAGAGGATATGCCATTACTAAGGAAGAAAATTCGTATTTCGCCAATGAACAAGTAGACCAAATCAGTAGAGCATCAGGCGGTATTGCTCACTCTACTTGAAGGTTTTGTCATGAATTTGAATTGCTGCAGGGCTTTAATATTTTGCAGTTTTCATACTTCTTCATTACACTATGCTCCTAACCGATGGACAGTTTTGATCTATACGCTGCTATGATTTAGAATGCTTTTGTTTCATTTTATTAAAAAAGCACAAGTTAATATTTTATCAATTGTAGTTCTTATGAAGCACTTCTGCTTCTTAAATTACGAAGCGTATGATGCAGGTGAAACATTTGTACCAATTTCCAAGCGTTAGCAATTGGGTGGGGCGGGGGGAGGTGGGAGTCCTAAGCTGAATGGGGGGGACTGACTCGCTTTTCAAGGAACCTCAGTCTTGGGGCCCTTGAGCTCCACACCTGAGCCATATTGCAAGGGATTCCTATTTGCTCGTGGCTACAAATTATTGCAGCAGGAAAAAAAAATATCAAACTGTAAACGGATTATAATGGCCAAAGGCATGGCATTTGTTACAAGAATTTTTGAAAGTTACAGACTAAGAAAAAAGGCATTACTAGGGGATGGATAAAACCAGAGATACAAGTGAGTGGTTTAAAAAAAAAAAAAAAAAGTAAAAAGTTTAATTATAAGAGGGATTTAGAAATAAGTACCAACATTTGCTACTGAACTGTGGGTCTGAGAACTGTCCTGGAGGAGCTTGACAACAAAGGGATCCCATAAATGGGGAGAAGGAATAGTTGCATGTTTCTGAACTTAATTTAAGGTCTTCTGTAAATACATTCAACAGAGCATTTGATTTTTAGGCTGTCCTTCAGGTGCGTAACTTGAGAGCAGTATCTCCTTACTTTTTCTGAGAAGTTAAGTCCTACCAGTGGTCATATTTTAGAAGTAGTGATGTTGGTAGCTATAGAAGTAAGAGGTATTTAGGGAAAGGTCACTCAAAACTGAGAAGTATCTAGTGACAGAAAATTCCCAAAAATACCTGAATTTATATGGCAGACATTGTTGATCCTAAAGACAAAGTATCCTGAATCTACACCTTTCTAGTTGTCAGAAAGACATCCAAAGTAGTATTAAAATGATGATGATTTGCTTAAACGAGTACAGCTTGGCTCAGTTCAGCATAGTATAGCAGATTCTTGGAACAAAGGTGGGCAAGGACTGGGGACTCCACCGTTGGTGATAATCCTGTCCACAAATACATTTATTGATTAGGAGATGGAAGATGCAAGGATTCGACGGAGATGATAGGGAAGAGGGTGCTCTTCCTTGGTTGCTGCCCTGCTCCTGAGAAGGGGCTCAAGTAAAAATTCTGTTTGGCGTAGAGGGCGAGGAAGAGGGCTTTTAAGCCTGAGCTTCCCTGGGTTTTTTTCTGGATCCATAGCAGAGAGTCATGGCACAACAATTCCATGGCTGAGATGGGGCCAACAGAGAAGGGTGGTGGGGAAGCTTCATCTTTTGTGGCTGCTTTTGCCAGCATGGGAAACAGACAGAGGAAGCTCTGTCAGGGGGAGATTGATGCAGCATGGGGATGTGATGATCTACCCCTGGGGCAGGTCAAAGCTCTGACCCGTGTTGACTGCTTCGGTTGAGGTGATGCTGCCAGCAGAGGAAGAAGGGATGCAGGGGATGCCCAGACAAGTTCAAGCTGAAGCTTAAGTTCAAGCAAGCTCAGTGCAGGGCTGCTAGTGGCAGGGCCCTGTGGAGGAGGACACAGGATGCAGGGAGGAGGCTGCAAGCAAGGCAGCACTGCGGGCATGGGGCCCGCCAGGCCCCGGGGCAGCCTTATTCCAGGAAATTAACAGTATTCCTCCAAAAAGCAGGGAAAGCAGGACATACCTGGTAAGTGGGAAGAAGGGTGGGGGGGGGGGAGGAGAAGATGACAGATTTCCGTGTTGGTGCCAGGAACTAGGTGCAAAGCTAAAGAAAATAGCAGGTGGACACGGAAAGCAGCCTCTGCGCTGAGCCCAGGGCAGAACCCCTACTGCAGGAGGTGACGTGGGGTGACATGGGGTGGAGTGGGTGCTGCACAGCCATGTGTCTAAGCTAGGAATGTGGGGCCAACCCCTGACACCCCAGGAGCTGTCACCCTGGGTCTGGGTTGGAGACCACGATCTGGAAAGAACTTCAGTGGGTGTCGGCAGCCTCACACTGGAGGAGTGGTACTGGGCCCCGTCCCAGCAGGCTGGGGCCTCTGCTGGTGATAAGCTTGGGGGGACATGGCTGTTACAAGGTGACGGTCCATTTAAAGATTCAAAAGATTATTAAGTAGGGGTTGAGGTGCCTGTATTCTAATTTACTTTGAGAAGCCATAAAAACATACTGAGGGGATGGAAGAAGGGAAGAGTCACCTCATAGTGACAACAGCTTCCAGCTTCCCCACTTGGGCAGTAAGGGTGATTTACAGCTCACTGCCAGCCCCCAGTTGCCGTGGGCCGTGTTAAAGCGTGACAATACAATTGCTGCTGCCCCTGCCTGGGGCACAGCAGGGTGCTGGGCATACGCGGCAGTTAGGATGCACGCATGGAGGGTGGAGGTGGTACAGAAGTGGAGCCCACTGCCTCCCTCCTGTCCTGCCCTTGAGCTCCCGATAGGCAATGGTTCCTTTCCTGCAGAAGGCAGCGTGCTCCAGTTTCTAGCAGGATGGAGCACTGCTCTCAAATGACATGTCCCACAATTTTTTCTGATAGGAGGTATTTTCAGGCCGAGTTTAAGTGTGCGCTGTTGCCCAGGATGCAGAGAGTGACGTGGTTTGGGACTGAAGCTGAGGAAGAGAGACCGATTAAAAGTAGCAAAGCCCAGGCAATGGTTAATTGATGGGCTAACGGTTAAACAAATGGGTTAAAACACTAACTCCTTTAATTCATGGAGCTAGGAGATGCTTGAAAGAATTCCACCCAAAGCCAAGGTATACAACCCAGTCCATGGGAACACTGAAATGTTTGAATGAGCTGGTGGTAAAGTATATGCAAAAACTTAAAATCACTGAAAGGGGCAGAATGGACACCACAAGAGAAGACTGAGAGAAGAAGTAGTGTAAGATGTGGCCAGTGACATGTGGACTGTCACCGGACAGTCCAGACACAGAGAAAGATGAACAGGAATAAAGAATATTTTCAGCCCGCTCCTCCTCTCTACTTTTCAGCACCAAACCAGTGGGAAACTGAGTGGTCTTTTGAGGAAACGGGACTTTTCTTGTGGCAGTGGTCAGGCATCTGTAGCTTTCAGTGCTGTATGCAAAGTGCAACGTGCAGTTCACATCCTGGCTGCTGCTGGAGTTTTAATCTGTTCAGTTTTAGGAAATGGAAAGTTTAGGGGTTTGAGGTGGTGGGGTTTTTTTTGGTTTTTTTTTGGTTTTTTGTTTTTTTTTCCAGTACATCATTGACAGTGGGCTGTCCCATGGGCTGGCTGACCTCCACAGCAGTAACTCAAAGGACTGTTCCACAGAGCCTGGAGAAGGCTGAGGGGTGGGCAATGGGTGCAAACAGGGTTTGGTCGTCTCCTGTCTGCAGGCAAGCTTCAGGTGTGTGCAAAAGTGACCTATTTAAGAAGTGAAGTGGACCTCAGATAGGAGTGAATTTTGGCTGGTGGAGGATAAATGAGCCTCCAGGAACAGCATCACTTGGGCTGTGAAATAAGCCAACGAAAATAACTAGCAGCCAGTCACAGTTGCCAAAGGGTTTGGTGGTTTGGTTTGGGGTTTTGGTTTGGTTTTTTTTTTTTTTTGGGGGGGGGGGTTGGGGAGAGGAGCAGCATGCAGAGGGGTTTTTTGAGGGTAGTAGCACTGGGCAGGGTATCCAGCACAATGCAAGAAGAGCATCTGCTGTGGTTCGGTTCCAGTAGTCCAAGGCCACCTTGAAGGACAAACGTCTTCATAGCTGAAGATCTGGAAACATATTCCAGGGGCTTGGGAGCTGCTGGCAGGCTGGGGGCAGATTTACGGCTTGTTTACATGCAGGACATTGTCTTGCTCATGAGCTGCCAGAGTTACCTCTGCTGTCCTGGATTAAACGCTAATGACTGGGGGATGTATTCATTGCTAGCAGCGCAGCTCTGCCAGCTCCTGGGCTGGGCGTCAGGAGGAAGGAGGAGCAAGAGGGACATGGCTCCGCTGGGCAGTGGAGAGCAAATTATGCCAGCACTGCTTCTATCCCGGGTGGTGTAAGAGCCTCTTAGCAGCACGGCAGCAGTTTGAGTCCTGCTGGCGGAGGGCCCAGGGCAGGGTTGACCCATGTCCCCCGGGGCTCAATCAACCTGGGGAGGACAGTCAGCAGGAGCTGCAAAAAATGGTGGAGAGGGTTTAGGGCAGTTGCTCCTTAATGCTTGGCCTGGTCTGTAATCTGCTTATGCTTCCCAGGCTGATGCAACCCTGAAAGCGTTGTGCGGGAAGGTAAGTTTTTAGGTGGCAAAGTGATTATGGTTATGCTTTAGGACGCAGAAGCACCTGTGCAGCTTAGGGATGCTGATATGCAGTAATAAGATAAGGGTGTGGATACCCGATACCAGGCTAGCAGATTTAAAAATAAAAACTTGGTTTTAGTGACA